CAGACTGATATACCCGGCAAAGCTAGCATTCACATTCGATGGAGAACTGAAAACTTTTAATAGCAAAGAAAAACTAAATGAATACATAAATATTAAGCCAGCATTACAAAGAATTCTAAGAGGGGGGACACAACCTGAAGAAAGCAACCAGGAACTGGGACCTGCCCCAAACAGGCATTACTCAAAGTCTAACTGAGCAAGCACAGGAGGAAAGGAAAGAAGAAAAACTTAGGAAAACGGAATGGCAGGGACAACAATGCATCTCTCTATACTTTCTCTTAATATAAATGGGCTGAATTCGCCAATTAAAAGAAAACGAACTGAGGACTGGATCAGAAAACAAGACCCATCCATCTGTTGCCTTCAGGAGACCCACCTCTCAGCCAAACATACAAACAAACTCAGAGTGAAGGGGTGGAAAAGGATCTACCAATCAAATTCCCCCAATAAGAAAGCAGGTGTAGCTATCCTGATATCTGACAAAATAAACTTTTCATTAAAATCAGTACAGAAAGACAAGGACGGACACTACATATTAATAAAGGGAACAATCCAAGAGGAGGATATAACCATCATCAACTTATATGCCCCAAATATCGGTGTACCCAGATATGTTAAACAAATGTTCTCAAACTTACAGAATAAAATAGATAAATACTAGGAGACTTTAACATACCACTCTCACCAAAGGACAGGTCTACCAACCAGAGGATTGGCAAAGAAGCTACCGAATTAAGTGAGGCCATACTTCAAGCGGAATTAACTGACATCTACCGAGTATTTCACCCTAAAACAACACAGTACACATTCTTCTCAGCAGCTCATGGAACTTTCTCCAAAATAGACCATATCATAGTTCATGCAAGGAACTTAAGCAAATACAAAGGGATCGACATAATCCCCTGTATCCTATCTGACCACAGTGGAATCAAGCTAGCTCTCAATAACAAAGCATACCGCAGAAATTTCTCTAATACATGGAAATTGAACAGCACGCTCCTTAACAAGGCCTGGGTAACAGAAGAGATCAGAGAAGAAATAAAGCATTTCCTACAACTCAATGAAAATGAAAACACCTCACAAAGAAACTTGTGGGACACAGCAAAAGCAGTCCTGAGGGGCAAATTTATTGCCCTCAGTGCCCACATCAAGAGAATGGAGACAGACCAAGTAAATAATCTCATGTTGCAACTAAAACAGCTAGAAAAACAAGAAAAAATGGGACCTAAAGCTACTAGACGAAGCCAGATAACCAAATTGAGAGCAGAGATTAACCAATTAGAAAATCAGAAAACCATAACCAAAATAAACCAAACAAAAAGCTGGTTCTTTGAAAAAATAAACAAAATTGATGGCCCGTTGGCAAGATTAATTAAAAAAAGAAGAGAGGAAACCCATATTAATAGGATTAGGGATGCCACGGGAAACATCACAACACGTACCCAAGATATCCAAACAATTCTAACAGACTACTTTCAAAAGCTATACTCTCTAAAGGAAGAAAATCTGGCGGAAATGGATGCATTTTTAGAGAAATACAAGTTACCCAAACTGAGCAAAGAAGAAGTTAACCAATTAAATAAGCCAATATCCTATAATGAGATACAGGAAGCTATCAAAAGTCTTCCAACAAAAAAAAGCCCAGGACCAGATGGATTCACAGCAGAATTCTATAAGACCTTTAAAGAAGAACTAATACCCATACTCCTCAAGCTCTTCAGAGAAACAGAGAAGGAGGGAGCTATCCCAAACTCATTCTACGAAGCCAATATCACACTCATCCCCAAACCAGGCAAAGACCCAACCAAAAAGGAGAATTACAGGCCAATCTCCTTGATGAACACAGATGCAAAGATCCTTAACAAGATTCTAGCTAACAGAATCCAGAAACACATTAAAAAAATAATACACTATGATCAGGTAGGCTTCATCCCAGAGACACAGGGATGGTTTAACATACGTAAGTCAATAAATGTAATCCAGCATATCAACAGAGCCAAGGTCAAGAATCACATGATTATCGCCACAGATGCAGAAAAGGCCTTTGATAAAATTCAACATTCATTCATGCTAAAAGCTCTGGAGAAAATAGGAATAGAAGGAACATTTCTAAAAACAATAAAAGCCATTTATGACAGACCAATAGCCAATATTATACTTAATGGGGAAAAGCTACAACCAATCCTCCTAAAAACAGGAACAAGGCAAGGATGCCCACTGTCTCCACTCCTCTTCAACATAGTCCTAGAACCCTTAGCCAGGGCAATAAGGCAAGAAAAAGACATTAAAGGGATCCGCATAGGGAAAGAAGAAGTTAAACTATCCCTTTTTGCAGACGACATGATACTATACTTCCACGATCCCAAAAACTCCATCCCCAAACTTTTAGAAATCATAAGTCACTTTGGCAAAATAGCAGGATACAAAATAAACCCACAAAAATCAGTTGCCTTCCTATACACTGATAATGCACAGGAAGAGAGGGAAATAAAGGGAGCAACCCCATTCACAATAACCTCCCAAAAAATAAAATATTTAGGAATTAACCTAACCAAAGATGTAAAAGAACTATTTAATGAGAACTATAAAAAGTTAAAGAAAGAAATTGCAGAAGACACCAGGAAATGGAAAGACCTCCCATGCTCCTGGATAGGCCGACTTAATATAGTAAAGATGGTGATACTTCCAAAACTAATATACAAATTCAATGCAATTCCTATTAAAATCCCAATGACGTACATCACTGAAATACAGAAAACAGTCCAAAAATTTATATGGAACAACAAAAGACCTAGAATAGCCAAAACAATTCTAGGGGATAAAGACAATATGGGAGGGCTATCCATGCCGAACTTCAAACTCTACTACAGAGCTATAATCACAAAGACAGCATGGTACTGGCACAAAAACAGACCCGAAGACCAATGGAACAGAATAGAAGATCCAGATATAAATCCACAGGCCTACAGCCAGCTGATATTCGACAAAGGAGCCAAAGACACACAATGGAAGAAACACAGCCTCTTCAACCGCTGGTGCTGGGAAAACTGGGCAGCCACATGCAGAAAACTAAAAGTGGACCCCAGCCTATCACCATGCACCAACATCAACTCAAAATGGATTAAAGACCTTAACATTAAACCTGAATCTCTGAAACTACTACAGGACAGAGTAGGAGAGACACTTGAACTAATAGGCACAGGAAGGAACTTCCTGAACAGAGTCCCAGGGTCACAACAAGTTGGAGAGAGACTCGACAAATGGGACTACCTTAAAATAAAAAGCTTCTGCACAGCTAAATCTATTGCAACTAAGCTAGAAAGACAACCAATTAATTGGGAAAAAATATTTACCAGCAATATATCAGACAAGGGGTTAACATCCTGTATATACAGGGAACTCAAGAAACTAATCCCTCCCAAACCTAACAAACCAATTACTAAATGGACAAGGGAACTAAAGAGGGACTTCTCAAATGAAGAAATAAAAATGGCAAAGAAACACATGAGGAAATGTTCATCATCCCTGGTGGTGAAGGAAATGCAAATAAAGACAACCCTGAGATACGACCTTACCCCAGTCAGAATGTCCCACGTCCACAAATCAGCCAACGACAAATGCTGGAGGGGATGTGGAGAAAGAGGAACCCTATTACACTGCTGGTGGGAATGTACACTTATACAACCACTTTGGAAAGCAGTCTGGAGGGTCCTTAGAAAGCTAAAGATTGACCTCCCTTACGACCCAGTCATACCACTTCTAGGCATCTACCCTGAACAACAGGAACCAATATACAAGGACACGTGCACCTCCATGTTTATTGCAGCACTGTTCGCAATAGCTAGGATATGGAAACAACCTAGGTGCCCCACCACAGATGAATGGATCCAAAAATTGTGGTATCTATACACAATGGAATATTATGCAGCCATTAGAAATGACAAAATAATGGCATTTGCAGGGAAATGGATGGAGCTAGAAGGAATCATGTTGAGCGAGGTAAGCCAAGAACGAAGAGACAAACGGTACATGGTCTCCCTGATAAGTGGATGCTAAATCCAAAAGGTTAGGTGACACGATAAAACTAACAGGACTTAAGAAACAAAGAACTCCCGCTCATCTGGTTGAACTACTACTAAATATCCCCATGCTGCTGATCACAAATATGGTATATAACATGTGAACACTGTTATATGTTACAGACTGTGGTAGACAATTTGCTCCAGGGAAGTTAGAATGAACTTGTGACTTTGAAATTATGTAATCATTTAATCACAATCAAAAAAAAAAAAAAAAGAACCTGGGGAAGGGAGGGAGGGAGGGGATGGTAGGGGGAAAACAATGGAGGGGGTAACAATGTTCAAGAGGAAGTGTACTCATAACCTCACTCATGTAACTGTAACCCTCTGTATAGTAGCTTTACAATAAAAAAAAAAAAATAGCCAAGTGAGAATACAAGGCTCTGAAGCCCCAGTACTGGCACAAAAATAAACGAATAAAATGAACCCTGCTAAGACTCCCTCAATTAATTTCTCCCAACTGCTTAGTTCATATATCTATTTCATTGGTACCATAATTCAAGCTTTTCTCTAATTATTCTAATTTTGTTAATGTTTCTAGGGCATAAATCCCATGAAAACAGGGGAATTTCCAGCAAATTGAAAAGGAATTTATAGACTGTCTAATTACATCCTTTGCCCTACCCCTTTTGCTGAAGAAACTGAGGGCCCTTGTGGGTCAACCTGTCCAAGTCAGCCAAGTTAACAAAAGAACTTGGCATAGAGGTCTTGTGTCCTGATTCTCAATAGTGTGCTTTTCATTTTTACCACATTAGGTTATCTTCCTATTTCACATGCATCTCTTCAGAACACCTTAGGAAGTGCTAGATACACACATGTCTCTCAAAAAACGTCAATATGATAAGCAGAGAAACGTTTGTATAACTAAGTAATTGAGACAAGAAAACCATCACAAATCAGGAAGAGCATTTCCTTACTTACTTCTTTGCATGATGCCACCCTCCAGCCCAGTTAATTGCTACTTTACATATCCCATCAATCAGGCACTGGGCAGCTGTGATTGTTGCCCCTCCTACTGCTGCAGCAAATTCAAATATCCCTTCAGTGGCTGGGCAATCGTAACCTGAAGGCAGAAACAGAGGGCTTGTTAAAGATGACTTGGAGGAGGAGGAGGAATAGGTTGAAGTGCCACAACATTCTCTAGCAAAAGCTACTGCACTGACATCAGTTCCAACTGAGAGAGAAACCTCTTCAATACTGAAGAAAGTTGGAGCTAGAAAGAATAAACATTCAAGATAAACAAATCACAACCTAGAGATAGTGCAAGCAAAGTGAGAGGTGGTGAGGTGATGAATCCTGCTGTGGTTGCACAGAGCCAGGTCTGGACTCTAGATCTCTTGACCTGCTCCCTCAATCCAGTGTCTTACTAAGCCATGTTGTTTCTCAAAATTATCACACTGGTTACTTTTTCTTTTCTTTTTTTTTTAAATAAGTTTTTGGTTTTTTGGGGTCCGGTCATGGGCCTGAACTCTGGGCCTGGGCGCTGTCCCTCATCTCTTCAGCTCAAGGCCAGTGCTCTACCACTTGAGCCACAGCACCACTTCCGGCTTTTTTCTTTTTGCTTATGTGGTGCTGAGGAATTGAACCCAGGGCCTCATGCATGCAAGGCAAGCGCTGTACCACTGAGCCACCTTCCCAGCTCCTTAAATAAGTTTTTTATTGTGAAAAGACTGTACAGAGGGTTTACAATCACATGACCAAGGTAATGAATACATTTCTTATCAAGCATTGTTGGGTCCTCCTTTGTTTTTCCCTTCCCATCCCTTCCCTCCCATCTCCACAACTACATTGCCCCTTTCCCCCCTTTTCACACTGGTTATTTATGGGTTTTAAAAATGTATTTAAAAGCCAACTGCCGGTAGCTCACACCTGTAACACTTGCTACTTTGGAGGCTAAGATCTGAGGATCATGGTTCAGTTCCAGCCCGGGTAGGAAAGTCTATGAGACTCTTATCTCTAATAAACTACTCAGAAAATGCTGTTAATGGCACTGTGGCTCAAGTGGTAGAGTGCTAGCCTTGAGCACAAAGAAGCTCAGGACAGAGCCCAGGCCCCAATTTCAAGCCTCAGGATCAGCAAAATATTTTTGCTTGTCCTGGGGTTTGAACTCAGGGCCTGCGTGCACTGTCTTTGAGCTTTTTTGCTCAAGCCTAGCACTCTACCACTTCAGCCATAGTTCCACATCTGACTTTTTTTTGTAGTTAACTGGAGATGAGTCTCATACACTTTCTTGCCCAGGCTTGCTTAGAATCTCAATCTTCAGATCTCAGCATCCTGAGTAGCTAGAATTGCAAGTGTGAGTCACTGGTGCTAAGCTTAAAAATGAATTTTAATAAGGAATCAGAAAAGTTAGAGGATGCTAAATCAACATATATTCAGCCAGACCAGATCTGAGTACTTTCATTAGGGCTGCATCAACTGAACTGTTTCTTTCTCCATCTGGATCATCATTCAGTTTTGTTTAATTTGCATGCTTTTTCTGGGTAGTGAGTTCTGTGTGGCTAAATCAAGAGATTAAAATAGACTACTGGGAGCATAACTCAGTGGCAGAGTGTATGCCTAATATGTTTGAAACCTTGGGCTCCATCTCTAGTAACACACATATACACATGCACCCCACACACAGAGTGTTAACACATTATTTCTTAATTAAGCATTTAAAGTCATTATAAAAGTTATAAAATATGCAGCAATATAATCCAGATGGGGGCTGTTAAGTCTCCCATCATTGCCTGGGAAAGATGTTACCTAGTCCATATTCTATGGAGTCGGGATGATCCTCATCCCCTTCTTGGCTGATCTTCTGGAGATGCTGTAGGTAGGCATCAGTGTGGAAGGTGGCCATCTCCTCCATGGAGGCCACTTTGGGCTTCACTATCCTAATAATAACAGAGACAACAAAGAGAGGTAAGTGAGTCAGACCCAGGATATTCAAAAGTTGGAGACAGGAGCCAGTAATCTGAGAGGTTAAAATACAACTCCCAGGTCTGGTTCCAGTGAGCTGATGTAATAAACAAATTTGGTTCCTCCCTTGTACTGGACATACTCTACTTTCATATAAAGTATTGACCTCACTAATAATGGGCAAAGGACAGATTTCTTTCTCCTAGTTAAAAATAGGCAAAAATAAGTGAGTAATTATATTTAAGTTAAACCAATTGTCAGGAATCAGATAAACCATATTCTATGAGTTGTAATTTTTTTGAGTTGTAATTTTTATGACAAGCCAGTAAGCAGAGATATCTCCACTTGAATTAATTGCCAAATGGGATATATAACCCTTTCACCCAAGTCTTTATTTTGTTTTACTTATTTATTATAGTTTTGGTGCTGGAAATTGAATATAGGACCTTGCACATGCTAAGCATGTACTGCTGAGCTACATCTTGGCTTCTTATATCTTATTTTAAAAGGCAGCCAGGTTATCATGAGTTAGAATTTGGAGTGTATACATTAACTGATCTATACAGTTTTCTCAGTGATAAAATAGGGAACTGCATGGGACTTGTGAAGAGTAAATGTGTGTGCCAGCACTGGGATTTGAACTCAAGACTGAGTGCTATTCTTTAGCTTTTTTGCTCAAGGTTGATACTTTACCACATGAGCCATAGCCCTGCTTCTGGCTTTTTACTGATTAACACACTTTTCTGTCCAAGCTGGCTTCAAACTGCAATCCTCAGATCTCAGCCTCCTGAGTAGCTATGATTACAGGCCTCTGCCACCAGGGCCCAGCTCACAAACAAATTCTTTGTGGTTAAATATCATCGATATTTGAGGAAACAAATTAGAAAACTCAAGATAAAAAAGTTTCTATACTTGGCCCTTCCCATCTATCTCTGAAAGGAAAAAGCGGGGAGCGAGGATAGGGGATTGAAACTGGGCTTTACTCAGAACCTTTCAACCTACTCCTCATAGGAAGTGACAAATAGGAGCACATAAGAGAATAAAAGGACCTGCCCTAGCGATAGGCTTTAATTCCTCTGACCTCTAGCTGCTTGTTCCCCACTTTTTCTTTGTATCCTCACTGTACATATGTTCTCCAGCCCTTGCAGCTGAAAGGGGTTTCTAGGGACCAGCAACACCAACATTTCCTGGGAACTTCTTAAGAATGCAGAACTTCAGCCTTACCCCAGACTCAGTGAATCAGAATTAGTATTTAACAGCTGATTTTTTTAGAACAATTCAGCAAAATGAAATTCTGGTTTATTGGACAAACTTTGTTTCATATACACATCAAACAGGTCACTCCTCCTGCTCTCCCCCCACCCCTGCAAAAAAAACTCAGCAACTTCATAGACAAAAAAAGGGGAAAAAAGAATCCTTTTTTGTCTTTAGCCTTTTTAACTATCTATTATAAATGAACTACTTTATAGTACAGCTAAGGATATATACACAAAAAAGTTACTGAAATGCTCAGAATAAGATTGTTTTTTATTTACATTTTATATTTTTTGTACATATTGTTCCAAATGACCAAAGCAGCCTTCAGTGCATTCTGTCCTACCTCTGACTATTTATAGTGTCACCATGTTCATTATAATCTCAAGGGAGAAAAAAACCTCTTACAAAAAGCAAAAACAACAACAAAAAATAACAAGATGATTTCTACAAGATAATATTTCTTAAATTCAAGTTGAAGCAGTGCAGATCCAGACCGCAGAGATGTAGTCATGGTTTCTTAATGTCTGCTGAACTGGGGCACAGCCACAAGTTTTTCACTGAATTAAAATGTCTATAAAGGCTACTAGTACAACTAAGCTGCTCAGGAGAAATCCTTTGGCCCAGCCTTAAAAATGAATTATTACAGTCAAGACCCAGTGATTCTTATTTCTTCTTCAAGAAAACATCTATCCATAAAATAAAAAGTTTATAATTTCTTGGACTGTTTCCCAGACCTATTGGCTTTCTCATATGGTACCTTCCCATGTTAAATGTTAAAAGTTGAAAATACCAACTAAGCTGGTCTCTGGTGGCTCACACCTCTAATCCTAGCTACTCAGAAGGCTGACATCTGAGGGCTGTGGTCCAAAGCTAGCCCAGGCAGGAAAGTCTGTGAGACTCTTACCTCCAATTAATTACCAAAATGCCAGAATTGGAGCTGTGGCTCAAAGTGGTAGATCTCTAGTCTTGGGCACAAAAGATAAGGGACAGTTCCCAAGGCCTGAATTCAAGCATCAGGACTTGCATGCATACACACACACACACACACACACACACACACACACACACACACACACACACACACACACACACACACACACACACACACACACACACACACACACACACACACACACACACACACACACACACACCACTACCACCACCACCAACAACAACAACTAAAAACTATTTAATAGTGGAGAAGACAGTTGGATTTTCTTTGCTGTTTGCAGTAAAATAATTTCAAACTTGTGTTGCCAAAAATAATTAAAAATTAAACAAAACTTAGTGAGGATGGACATCAATGGTTCACACATATAATCCTAGCTACTCAGGAAACTGAGATCTGAGGATCACAATTCAAAGCCAGCCCAGGCAGGAAAGTCCGTGAGACTTTTATCTCCAATAAATTGCCAGAAAACTGGAAGTGGCACTGTGGCTCAAGTGGTAGAGTATTCACCTTGAGCTGAAGAGCTCAGGGACAATGCCTGGGCCCAGAGTTCAAGTCCCAAAACCAATTAAAAAACTTAGTGAACTGTGTGCATCAGTGTCTCATGCCTGTGATCCTTGCCTCTCAGGAGGCTGTGGTCTGGAAGATTTGAGGCTAGCCTAGCAGAAAAATCCATGAGATTCCAACTCCAATTAATCACACAAAAAGCTGGGTGGGAGGTGTGGCTTGAGTGGTAAAACATCAGCCTGGCAAGTATAAGGCCCTAAATTCAAATTTCAGTACTTCCAAAACAAACAACAAAAAACACCCAAACACTTTAAAAAATATACAGTTATACTGACTGAACAAGAGGGTTTAAGGATGACTGAAGCTGGGTGCTGGTGAATCATACATTTAATCCTAGCTATTCAGAGGAGACTGAAATCTGAAGATTATGGTCCAAAGCTAGCCCAGGGAGGAAAGTCTATGAAACTCTTATGTCCAATTAACCACCAAAAAGCTGGAAGTGGAGGTGTGGCTGAAGAAGTGATAAGAGTGGAAGCCTTGGGCACAAAGTTTAGGGACGAATCCAGGCCCTGGGTTCAAGTCCTAGCACTGGCATAAAAAACAAAAAATAAAGAACATGTCTAAAGGAAGTAACACCAAGTGGGCAGTGGTAGAACATTGTTGTAATTCCAACACCTGGAAAGCAGAGTTGCGCTCTAGACCATCCTGGGCTACACAGCAAGACCCTGTTTCAACCCACTCTGTCCATAAAAAGGAGGTACACAAGAAATCATTCGCTTAATTATAAAGATGAAAGATGAAAGCAGAAGATAAGCATGCAATACTAGCTGGTGTAGGACACTTATCTATTTGGCCAGAAAATATCATAAGTATTACTTATAAATGTGGCAGGTTCTTATAGATGCATTTATAGTGACATTAATATAGAATAGGTAATATTTTTATTCTTGGAGTTTGAATTCAAGGCCTTATTTTGCTAGGCAAGTGTTCTTCCACTTGAGCCATATCTCCAATGCAGTCATTTTTTTGTTTACTTATTTTTCAAATAGGGTCTCACATTTATACCCAGGCTTGTCTATTTATCCCTACCTATTTATGCTGCCTATGTAGCTGAGATGATAGTTATGAGCTACCATGCCTAGATTCATTTTTTTTTTTAAAGAAGCACTTCATTGCATCTAGAGTCCTGACTGGCTTCAGCAGTTTGCTTGGGTATTGACTTTTCTCCAAGCTAGGTCATTAAAGTATGGTGGTGGTAGAAGCATTTCTAAAAATCTTAGGTTGAACCTGTACCCTCAAACCTGGCTTAGAGGGAAAAAATCCCGGCCCCATCAAAAACAAACCCCAAACAAAGTACAAAACAAGAACCGAAGACCTACAGCATAACTCATCTCAAACTGTCTACCAAATACCTATCACACCCCGAAATAAAGTCGGATATCTAATGCATCGTAACTCTCTCTGTGTTTTTTTTCAAGTTTCCTTAATTTTTCAAGAGCTTTTCTAAAGTTACAGGAAGATTACAAACACTATAAATACTCTGACAAAAAAAAAGCTTTTTTTTTTTAAGGCAACATACTCTCCTTAATTATCCCCAGAGTGAAGTAGGACTGCAAGGCTATGTTTGGGCTTCTAGCCTTAGGGATGAAAAGCTAGATGCAGAATAACCAACTTACCTCATGTGCTTATGCAGTGCATATGCTTCAATCAGAGAATGGACCATACTGGCCTAAAAAATACAGCATAAGAAAAAAAGAAAGACAGAGTACAGTCTCTTTCATAGTTTAATTCAACGAAATCCAATAAACGTCACCAAGATTGAAGGAGCTATCTACTTTAGCTCGCCTCCCTTTCTTAATGGAATACACTTTAGACGATACAGAGATGAGAAGTCAAAATCGCGTAGATAGTAGCTGCCAGGCGCCTTTCCACGGGAGATGGAGTACTTCTCCTCAGCAGTTTCTCTTTCACAACGTAAGCAATCCCCACCTAAAGAAACTCCATCTCGGCCTTGCCATTCCCCCTTCTCTTCACGGATTCCCTCCCCCACTCTCCCCCACCGGCTTCTGGCACTCTCCGAACCCCCCGGGAACGCTTTCTCTTTACATCAGCTTTAGGCTCCGGACACAGCGACTCCAATTTCTGTGGCGGATTTTTAGTCTCCCGGCTTCCTAAAGCCCTCCGGTCTACCCCGACAGACCGCCCTTCATGCACAAAACCCACCCAGGTCTTTCATCCCAATCTCTCTCACCCGCTTGGGAACCTTGGTCAGGGAGTCGCACACGCTGACATACTCCGGACTGTAAATGTAAACAGGGCGCAGCGGCTTCCCACCCTTTCCTTGGGACTGTAGTTTGTCCATCTTCCGCTTCCCACCGCTTCGGAGGCACGGTCTGGATTCTACTGCCTTCAGACCCAGCCTGAGCTCCGGTTCCTGCTCCCCAGATTGGCCGCAGCGGTGCTCCCCGGTCAACATTCCCTCCTATTCTTGAGACCGCGGGAGACACTGCCCCTGCTCCTCAGCCAATTGTGGCGATGGCTGGGCCTTCTCAGGACAGAAGAACCCGTCTCAGTGACAGCACCTCAAAGAAAGAAGGCTTGGCAGATAAAGGAAAATGCCCAAATAACTGCCAATTAGGGCCGGCTTATTATGACAGAAATAAATACGGTCAAAACTAATCATACCTTGTTGCCCTACGGGGCCATTTGAGATGAAGTCAGGCCAGACTCAGAGCATGCTGGGAGATGTAGTTCTTAACACGTCTGGGTAGCGGAAGAGCTGCGGCTAAACACTAAAATAGCCATACATTTCATTTTTAACAACAAAAAACGAGCCTCGACTCTTTATGAATTGCTTCACTATGAAAATATTAGACTTTTAAGTATTTAATGACAGATTCAATGTAGCTGTCTACAGCCCCCTCACTTCAACTGTTTATCCTGAAGATGGGCATCCCCATCAATGAATGATGTAAATGGTATGCAAAGTATGCACAGTAAATTCTGTGCAGCAGTTTTAGTTTAACATTTATCATTTACTGTGTAAGAGGTAATGAACCACAAGAATTTATTCAGGCAAATCTGATATGTTCCTAAGAGACTATGTGATACTGTGAAAATTGCTTGGTAGATTCGAATCAAGCAGTGATGTCAAATGTACTCCCTGAATGTTGATATAATAATAGGAAGGATGTAGGATGTGTTCAGTTGTGTTTGGAAATTGTAGTTCTTCCCTCCCTCCTTTGTTGTAAAACTAAACAAAGGCTAGGGATATGTTTCAAGTTTGGTTTGCAGGTCCTGTTAAGAGTATCATGAGGCAGTTGTAGAATTACAGTCAGCATTTCCAGGTTCTTCGATGCTTGCAGGATTTGGTACAAGCTGAACTGATCTACTAGCACCCTCAGACACAGGCCATATCTGCAACTTCTTTAAAGTCTAGCTTACTTTTCTATTCTTAAAAAATTGTGATATGCACTGTGGATATATTTTTTCATATTATCCTTCCACAGTCTTTTGAAAGAGATTATAATATACCCATCTAACAGATGCAGTTTTGAGAAAGAGAATAACTGTGTAAAGTTACACATTTAAGGAGAAAAGCCATAATTTAAAATCAGGACAGTGACAGTGAAGGTTTAAATCTTGTATTATATAAACCTGATTCCTATAGGGTGATTTTGCGTTCTATCTAACTTTGTTCAACTCTCCACTTTAGTATTCCCTTAATACTTAGTATTTTGGAAATCATTGTAGGTGAGGGGTATGTGTTTATTTATTCTCTAACTAGGATGTAAGTTGTCCCACATGAAATAAGTGCGCAGTTCAGCTGTGAATTCAAAAATGAATTACAATCTAGTCTGTGCCCTAAGGAATCTGCATTCTTGTAGAGAAGAGAGGTAAATGCACAATAAACCATATACATGGCAGTCAGATAATGAATATAGGATGCTTAGCTTACTAATTTTTTAAAAAAGCATTGTCAGGCACAGTAGTAATGGTGGTAACCTGAAGTAATCCCATCACTTGGGATGTGGTAAGAGGATCAAGAGTTTGAGGGCAGCCTGGGCTCTACTGCAACACTTTGTCTAAAAAATGAAATAAAACAATTGCTGGGCACCTGTATCTCACATGTAGGCTGAGATCTGAGAGCCAAGATTCAAAGTCGGCTCAAGCAGTCAAATCTGAGAGATTCTTATCTCCAATTAACCAGAACTTGAGTTACTGTTCAAGTGATATAGCACCAACTATGAGTGAAAACCCCAAGCCAGACCAAGAGGCCCTGTGTTTATGCTCCAGTAGCAGTGTGCATGTGTACACACACACACACACACACACACACACACACACACAAGCAAACACTTAACATTCAATAAATGGTAAGTAGGATTCTCATACAGTGGTTTTAAGAGGATGAACAGGATTTTTCTCTGTGAATATGGGAGCTAGAGGACAGCATGCTGACTAGAATGAGCAGCATAAGCAAAAACTGTACAAAATTCTTCATCTACTTTAGCTGAAGGAACCAAAATTTAAAGAGCTTTCGAACAGCATAATAAAGAAAACAGACAATTCTGTGGAAATGGGGGAACATTTAGAGAGATTTGTTTTCTGTGTGCTGGTATTGGAGATTGAACTTAAGACTTTGTGTTCTTGCTTGGCTTTTTCATAGCTGGCACTCTACCACTTGTACCACACATCTAGTTCCAGCTTTTTGCTGGTTAAGTGGAGATGGAGTTTCCTGGACTTTTCTGCCTGAGCTGGCTTTGAAGCTCAATTTTCACATTTAAGCCCCCTGAGTAGCTGGGATTACAGGTGTAAGCCACCAGTGCCCAGCTCATTTAGACAGATTTTGCTGTGTGGTCCTGGAGATCAAGCCCAGGATATTGTGCATGGCAGGCAAGTATGCTACCAAGTGAGCCACACTTCTGTTCCTTAGAAGTATTTGTGAAGAAAATTATACAGTAATAGTGTTTAGGAAAAAATAGTCATTGACAGACTAGAGGCTGGGAGTCCCAAAACTTCCCAGATAAGAAGTGATTATTTAAACTAAGGTGATGGCAATGGAAACAGTTTCATAAATCATTGTGTTAGGAAGTTGCATGAGAAATAAACATTTTCCACATAAAAATGAAGTCATAAGAGTGTCTGAAGAGCCAACAATACATGGCTTTCTCTTCTGCAGTGTGTAATAGTCATATATTACAAAATTTCAAACCCAAACTCATTATTCCCCCAGACAAGTACCTTCAATCCTTTTCCCATCTTTCACAGCCCAATAAAGATACTAATGCCTATCCAGTTGCATGGGCCAGAAATCTGGGTGTCATTTGTGTATCCTTCTTTTGTCCCACCTGAAAATCCAACCCATCATCAATTTCCATTAGTTATATCTATAGGAATCACTTTACATTCATTTACTTCTCCCCCTTGGTAGAGTCACTACCCTAGTCTGAGCACTATTATTTTTGGCCTGGACTTTCTTCAATATCCACATGGTCTCTCCTACTCTGGCTGCCTGTACAAACCATTCTCTTTGCAGCTCCAGAGTGAACTTCTAAAAACAAAAGTGAATTGGTTCACATCATTTAAACTTGCCCTGCACCATAGAATCTTCTAGCTACAAAGCAGTAACTTTTGAAGATTCCTTGCTCTGGATATTTGTAATAGGAAAAAGACAAAAGAAAGGAGACAAAAAGGAAACAGCTGAATCAAAATGATTGTAATAAGCCGAGCGCCGGTGGCTCACACCTTTAATCCTAGCTACTCAGAAGGCTGAGATCTGAGGATCATGGTTCAGAGCCAACCCGGGCAGGAAAGTCCATGAGACTCTTATCTCCAATAAACTACTAGAAAACTGGAAGTGGTGCTGTGGCTCAAGTGGTAGAGCGCTCGCTTTGAGCTGAAGAGCTGAGGGACAGCATCCAGGCCCAGAGTTCAAGCCCCATGACCAAAAAAAAAAAAAGATTGTACTAAGATTTCCCAGGAATCAGTAGAGGTATTTCAAGGAGGAAGAGCTAACAAAAAATGTTCACTGGTGCTCTATGGGGTGGGTGGAATCAGAGGTAGGAGAGGAAGCCAGAATGCAAGGGTTAAAAAATGAAGCACTCACCCTTATATGTAGCTTCCTTTTTGAAGTAATATGATTGTGAAAGGAAGTAGTGTGAGGGGATATCAGAGCCCAGATTTGCTTTTAAAAGGACAAAAGAGAACTTCACACACTCATAGATGGAGGAAAAGAGTCCATGGGGCTCTAGGAAATGACTGAAATGTGAAATGATGACATATTAGCAGTGTAAGTAGGTAATGAGACTTGTTTTGGGCCTTCTGGGCTAGGCATTGTGGAAGGAACTGGGCAGGATACAGAAGAGCAATTAACATTCTAAATTCTGCATGGTAATCAGATAAACTGGACATAGGTGTGTGTGTGTGTGTGTGTGTGTGTGTGTGTGTGTGTGTGTGTGTGTGTGTGTTCTTTAACATTTAGAGAGACAGCCAAACCTTTCAATGAAGGAGTAATATTTCTCAACTGGAACCAGTATCTTAGAACAGCACAAAATGTAGCAAGATAATTTAATCTCACAAAAAGGTAAGTTGATGCACAATGTTCTGAAACTGACACCTTGTACCTGCAGCAAATCTAATAAAGGATCTGGAGCCTTGCTCATGATGGAGATAGTACAGATCATGCTGCAAGTCTCCAATCTCAATTTTCTACATGCTTAATACCTTCCTGAAACCATGAAAAAATTCCTTCTGAAGTCTTCAGAGGAAGCCAGCTGAATCATGGCTTACCAAGCTGATGATCTTGCTTTCTTCAACCATTGTTGTGAAAGGTAATGCTGGAACCTGCAAAGCCAGGTAAGTTGAACTGGACCAATTATTTTTAATCTTCTCTCCTGCTTTCACTTGCTGGCAGAAGCAGATGAGAGGAAAAGCTAACACATTAAAGGAGCACTACCAGGGCTGGGAATGTGCTTAGGCAGAGTGCTTGCCTAGTATGCATGAGGTCCTGGGTTTGATTCCTTGGTACCACAAACCAAATAAATAATTTTTTAAAATGTCACTACCAGGTTAGGCATGGGACATAGGCATGTGGTTCTAGCTAACAGGTAGAGACAGGTTGATGAATGTTTGAGGCCAGCATGGGAAAAAGTTAGTGAAACTTTATCTCAAAAACTAGCCTGGCTTAGTGGTAGAGTGCTTGCCTAGCATGCATGGAGCCCTGGGTTCCATTCCTCAGTACCACATAAGCAGAAAAAGCCAGAAGCGATACTGTGGCTCAAGTGGTAGAGTACTAGACTGGAGCAAAAGAAGCTTGGGTACATTGCCCAGGGGTTCAAGCCCCAAGACTGGTTAAAAAAAAAGCAGGACACCTGTGGTTCACGCCTGTAATCCTAGCTACACAGGAGGCTAAGATCTGAGGAGTGTGGTTCAAAACCAGCCAGGACAGGAAAGACCATGAGACCCTTATTTTCAATTAACCACCAGAAAACCAGATGTGGCCCTATGGCTCAAGTGGTAGAGCGTTCACCTTGAGCTGAAAAGCTCAGGGAAAGCACTCTGGCCCAGAGTTCAAGCCCCATGACTGACCAAAAAAAATGCAAAACCAAACCAAACAAAACAAAC